ACTGAAGAAGGTTCAGGGCCGAAAATTTAACTATGAACTTGTTACAGTAATTGTGTATTTTATAAAACAGCAGTTACTGAACACACTTCTTTAATAGAGTAAGTAAATTATATAAATAAAAGCTATCGTATATGTATTCCTTTTCGTCTGTTTTAATATACTTCACAGTGACTAATTATTTATGTCTGCAATCGTAATTGAACGTAGAAATGTACATCAAATGTATCATTAACTCCTTTGTATTACACGATAAACAATTAAGAAAATACATATGCGTCATTATGTTTTTAATTACCCGAAGCAATGCGCTCAAAATAATACGTGACGTTGATGACGTCAAACTGAAGTATTTTGTATTTTTGATAGGTTGTTTTGATTTATTATAACTTTTTTGTCTAAACAGATATCTGACTCAATCTTGCATCGTTTGTTAGAAATATAGCTTAATTTGATATATCAAGTTTTGAATATTTTTTGCCGATGGGCCAAAATCAACCCAAAACGTACCTAGCCCTTTCTGCCAAACAAAACAAAATTGGGGTAAAATACTCTCAAAAACTTATCTGTAGCTGTGCATCAGATGACAAACTGGTATGTTGAATATTTCAAATTATTGAAATGTGTTTAAATTGTGATAACTTTGCAGCAATTAAAGTGTGGCTGTTAAACGTTATCTTTAATAATTCAATGCTTAAAATGATCTTCAACAATGTTTTTGTTTCAATTTTAAGAAATTTTCTAAAACTTTGTTATTAAATTGATGTATTTAGTTGGACATTCAATAAAGAAAGCATCAGATTATTTATCCAGTTGCCCTCACAGAGTTCAATCCTCGGGCAAAGTGGTTGCTACAATACCTATTAAACAATTCATGGTACAAAATTTGGCCAATATATTAATAATATAGTCATTTTTAGCTTGACTATTCGAAGAATATGAGAGCTATTGTAGTCGCCCCGGCGTCGGCATCCGCGTCGGCGTTGGTTAAAGTTTTTTGTAAAGTCAAATATCTCAATTATTACTTGAGATATTCAATTGAAACTTACAATAGTTATTTATAGTAACAAGGTACATCAGATTGACAAGTTGGATAACTCTGCTTACAATATTGACAGAATTATGCCCCTTTTTAACTTAGAAATTTTGGTTAAAGTTTTTTCTAAAGTCAAATATCTCAATTATTGCATGAGATATTCAATTGAAACTTACAATACTTATTTATAGTAACAAGGTACATCAGATTGACAAGTTGGATATCTCTGCCTACAATATTGACAGAATTATGCCCCTTTGGAACTTAGAAATTTTGGTTAAAGTTTTTTTCTAAAGTCAAATATCTCAATTATTGCTTGAGATATTCAATTGAAATTTAAAATACTTTTTTATAGTAACAATGTACATCAGTTTGCAAAATTGCATAACTCTGCCTGCAATATTTGCAGAATTATTTGCCACTTTGAAACCTGGAAATTTTGGTTAAAGATTAAAGGTCTTCAAAGATATTCATTGAAACTTTACACATGCACTTAGGGTCATAATTGGAGGGTCATAATTGTATGTCACTGACCAAGTTCCATAACTCTATCTTGCATTAAGGCTGATTCATATCCCCTTTTCTACTTAGTCTCTTGGTTAATGTTTACATGCAAGTTTTACATATCTCAATAACTATTAAAGATATTTATTTAAAACTTCACATATGCATTTAGGGTCATAATTGTAGGTCACTGACAAAGATCCATAATTTATCTTGCATTTAGGCTGATTTTTCTCCCCTTCTTCAACTTAGAAATTCATGGTAAAGTTTTGCTTGTAAGCTGTTATCTCAATAACTACTGAAGGGTTTGTGCATTTGTTTGGACAATTTTATGCATTCATAATAATAAAGCAGTGATTTACTTGATTAAACATCTTAATAACAAGCCTTTGTACCTTTTCTGTCAAATTTATGTATTCATATGTAATTAGTATTATTATACTCAATAAAACACCCTTGTGACATTACCTTCCGAAAAGTCAAGCCAATACTGTATAATTAGACTCTCTCTAAGGCCTATATTATTAAACATGAATTTATAAAAAAAAATTAGCCCTTTTGTGAACTTAAAAAAAATTTAACATTATCAAGGCTCTTTTACTTTCAAGCACTAAGAATAGTCGAGCGTGCTGTCCTACCGACAGCTCTTGTTCTTTTGTGGTATTTCTTTAAAACATTTCATTCTGTATTTACCCATTTCCTTATTAAGTATTATTACAGTTTCAGATGGCATTTTTCAGACAGAAGTTTGTGTTGGGATGATGAATGATGGCGATCTCTTCTATCAGTATGAGAATGAGGTAAAAGCAATATTTGATTTGAAAATGCATGAATTTTTACAAAATACTGTTTCGCTCCTGCATTTGGTAGTGACACCTGTAACTGTGCCCCTTTCTAATGTTGACAGCAACTATCATATATGACTGCTCTCTATGACTGTGTGTTGTTTTTATGTAGACAGTTATTTTCTTTCATCAAAACTTATAATAAGAATAATCACATTAAAATATTATAATTTCTAAGTGACAATATAAGTTAACAAATTATTATCATCGGATAAAGAACTATCCCTTGCTACGTAATAGCAGTAGACGTTATAGTCCAACATGGCCGACATGGAAAAGTGCATTACAATTTATCATAAATACGAGTATGCAATGTTTGCAATTAAATTCCGATGAATTTATAACGTAGATTTACATATTAATTGTAGCTGCATCATATACAACCAAACTTTAACATCTTTAGTGTGAAATAAAGGAATTAACTTTTTTGACAGAAGTCACAAACACAGATTAAACACGCAGGATTCTACCAAGGAGAACATTCAGGGAAAATCTTCCAGAATCAGGAAGGATTAAATTGCTGGCACAATTCGTAGATTAACTTTGATGTCCTGTAAGTTTCATTAGGACACCACATGATTTTCTGTGTTGCCGCCAGTAAAAATTCTCAAAATGAAAGTGAAAGTAGAAATAAACAATATTAAAATTCAGTGAAATCACAAAAGGTAAAATTTCAAGGGCATTACAATACTAATTAACCAATTTTAGCTCACTTGTTCTCAGAGATGATCTTCAGTGATTGCCTGATGTCAGTACATGGTAGCTAAGCTAAATATCTCAAGTTACTAAATTCCAAGGTTAAATTCCTTTTAAGGTTAAATTTTCCTGGCCTGATAGGTAGGCTATGAAAACTGAAGTTGTATTTTGAAAATGCTTGGATAATATTATATATTAATATACACAGTAAAACTTTGTTTGCTCAGTCTCAGAGGGCCAGCACATTTATTCCAGAGATCTGTAGTAACTAGTTACAGCTAACCGAGGTTGAACTATTATCATGTATTGTATTATATCTGACATATGCCTGAAGGTTTTCCAGCTAACATACATCGGTCACATGTTAAATACGTTTCCATTATTTTTTTTGTTAGTACATCAGTTTGTCGAAAATGTCATTTCTTCTAAATATTAAGAAATATTGTCGTAAAAAATACATTACAGTGTTTTCAAATGAGTATTAACTGTACACTAGGGCTGTCATTGATGGAAAATTTTGCATAAATGATATAACGAGAGACGAATATCGACAATATATCGACTTAGACAGTAGATACAATAAAAACATTTAAATATGTGTTATAAATTGGGATCATGGTGTTATGCATGTTTTTATTATAATAATAATAATAATAAAGACTTTATTTCAAGAGGCTACACAGTTGCAACAAAGGCAATCTACCCTGTGGGCCTCATAAAATATACATATTTACAATCATATAGTTGTGAATAACATGAAATATTATGCAATAACATTAACATAATTATTTTGATATTGAAAATAAGACAATAATGATAATAATTAAATAAAGTGCACAAAAAAAATACAGTGAACAAGGCATTTCAAAATTACAATTCTAACACTCACGTGATTTTGTCACTATAGACAAAGAAGGAAAAAAACTGGTGTTATACTGCCAATAAACACCAGTTAGGGACTACTTGTATATGCGCTGTTATGTTTTCACCCTCGATTGTATAGTTTACAAAGCATTTTAAAGCAACAAGTAAAAGCATTTTTATTTAGGAAATAGATATCAATTCTGAGTGCATTGTTGTAGAATAATGCACGGTTTGAGTTCAAATGCGTAGTAATATAATCACGAAGGCCGATTTGCTATGATGTCAGCTGACATTTTTAGGTATTTAGGTCCGTCCAGACCTGTAGACTTGCTTTCGTCAAGATTTAGTAACTCTTTTTTGAACAAACTCTTTCGTTAGAAGTGGTATTTCAAATTTAGAAGAAAAGTTTGAATTTTCTTGGCTGTCATTCTAAATTTCTGGGAGTGTGAGTTGCATACACTGAAATATGTTAATAAAATAGTCATTAAAAGTATTAGCTGTTTGGACTGGATCTGAAATAGGGTTGCCCTGATCGTCATTGATGAAATTAGTTGGATGTATTACAGATGTACCTGATAAATCTTTAAGATTTTTCCACAGGGTTTTAGGATCATTTTTCCTATTGTTATTTATTTTTTCTGTAAAAAAAGTTTTTTTTGATGTTTTGATAAGTGTCTTTACTTTATTTCTCCAGATCTTGTACTGTTCAAAGTTACCTTTACTTTTAAAATAATCTCTTTGATTTATTGCATATTTTATATCTGTAGTTAACCAGTCCGGCATTTCAAATACTACAAACTAACAGAAAGTTTTTTTTTCTATTATTTCTTTTCACTGGCATTTGAAAACTGTGTTTATAGTTAAAGTAAGCCAATAACACTTGGAAAAAGTTATTTATTTCACATTGTATTTTCTTTGTATCGTTACTTAACACAGCAAATAAACAATATTATCATAACAAACAAATTGGTAACAACACCTCTAATTTTGTATTGTTTATCACAATCACAAGGTGTTAAAAACATGTGACACCAACTGTCATTAATTTAGAACGAATCCCGGACAATCCCCCTCCCGGACGATTCCCCTTACATATTATTTTCACAACCCGGACATTTCCCCTCCCGTTATTTTAATAGGGCGGACTTTTCCCCTCCCGTTAATTTTACAGGGCGGACAATTCCCCTCCCGTTATTTTAGCAGAGCGGACAATTCCCCTCCCGTTTTTTCACAGAGCGGAACGTGACATTATACATCCCTTAATCATAGCCGCCTATGCGATTAAAAAATCTATAAACATTCTAATTAAAGATGACAGTCTTTACTCTTAACAACAAACTGTTAAAGATCGGAACTTTTAACAATCATTATTTCACAAAGGTGACATTATACCGCCTTTAATCATTGCCGCCGCTGCTTAAGATAAACAAACTGTCAATAAAAAATCTTTAATCATTGCCGCCCTTAATTAAATGTGTCCTTAATTGCAAAACCAATTATTGAAAATTATTAATTATCGTTAAAGCAGTTCACAATAATTGTTTTGTAATTAGTGCACAAAAAGTATTTACTATTTTATAATTAGTCTATTTATTATTAAAGATGACAGTTTTTACTCTTAAAAACAAACTGTTAAACTGAAAACATTTATAATATTGTCAAATCTTTCTTCAAATCACTTCCAAAATGGAAATTATTACAACAAGAAACGGTACCAAAAAACTTTGTCATGATGGATACGTTTATACCAAGAAGAGAACAACAAAATCTACTATACGATGGGAGTGTTCCCAGAGGTACGCCCAAAAATGCAAGGGTGCTGCGGTGACAGACTTGAACGTAAGTTTTCATGAATAAATAATTAAGTAATAATTAAGTAAAACAGAAAATAATTAGAACTAATTTTAAATATTCCTACATTTACGAGCCATTGTACAAATTAATACGTATTTTAAAAACAAATAGTATCTTTTAGAAGTATTAAATAAAACCACAACATAATTTGTTAATACTTGTCGTGTATATTTTTGTATTATATAAATAATTTAAAGTTGTTATAAATTTATTCCTTTTGTAGATGACGAGTGTTCATTCAGTAACTTCTCACACACATGACGCAGATAAATTCGCAGTAGAAGCCATAAAAATTAGAACAGAAATAATGAATGCAGCTGATGCTAATAGAGGAAAACCTGGTCAGATTCTTGCTGATAAACTGCTCCACTATCCAGTGCAGGTAATTATAACACTGTTTTTTTACGGAAAGAATAAAGTTAGCACAATATTTATTTAAAATAAATATTAAATAGAAAATAAACTATAAAGAGAATAAGTATTATAAAGAAAAAGAAATAAAATGACAATAAAAAATAAAATTCTTTTCTCCCTATATCTCTATATGTCTGGTGTACGTGAATAGCACATATTGTTGCATTATAATAACATAATTGCACCTTAGTAAAAAAGAAATACATGTGAGGAGTAAAGGTCGATGTTATATTGAATGTAAGTTTAATCCTTAATGTATGTTAGCTTTATTATACCCCCACAAACGAAGTTTAGGGGGGGTATATAGGAGTCAGCTTGTCGGTCGGTCGGTTGGTCGGTCGGTCGGTCGGTCGGTCCGTCGGTCGGTCCACATCATGGTTTCCGGACGATAACTAGAGTTTGGAATGAGGTGTTGTAATCAAACTTGGTATATAGCAACCTTATGTGGAAACTCAGGTTGGTATTGCATTTGGACCCCCTGGGGTCAAGGTCAAGGTCACCGTTACTAAAAATAGAAAAATGGTTTCCGGACAATAACTAGAGTTAGGAATGAGATATTGTTATCAAACTTTGCGTATAGCAAGCTTATATGAAGACCTGGGTTGGTATTGCATTTAGGCCCCCTGGGGTCAAGGTCAAGGTCATGGTTACTAAAAATAGAAAAATGGTTTGCGGACAATAACTTGAGTTAGGAATGAGATATTGTAATCAAACTTGGTGTATAGCAAGCTTATATGAAGACCTGGGTTGATATTGTATTTGGACCCCCCTGGGGTCAAGGTCAAGGTCACCAGTACTAAAAATAGAAAAAAGGTTTCCGGACAATAACTAGAGTTAGGAATGAGATATTGTTATCAAACTTGGTGTATAGCAAGCTTATATGAAGACCTGGGTTGGTATTGTATTTTGACCCGCTCGGGTCAAGGTTAATGTCACTGTTCCTGAAAGTAAAAAAATGGTTTCCAGACAATAACTTGAGTTAGGAATGAGATACCATGATCACACTTGGCATAAAGCAAGCTTATATGAAGACCCTAGTTGGTATTGCATTTTGACCCCTAGGGTCAAGGTCACCATAATACTAAAAGTAGAAAAATGGTTTCCGGACAACATCTAGAGTTAGGACTTAGGAATGAGATATTGTAATCAAACTTGGTATATAGAAAGCTTATATGAAGACCTGGGTTGGTATTGCATTTAGGCCCCCTGGGGTCAAGGTCATGGTTACTAAAAATATAAAATGGTTTCCGGACAATAACTTGAGTTAGGAATGAGATATTGTAATCAAACTTGGTGTATAGCAAGCTTATATGAAGACCTGGGTTGGTATTGTATTTTGACCCCCTGGGGTCAAGGTCACCGTTACTAAAAATAGAAAAATGGTTTCCGGACAATAACTATAGCTAGGAATGAGATATTGTTATCAAACTTGGTGTATAGCAAGCTTATATGAAGACCTGGGTTGGTATTGCATTTGGACCCCCTGGGGTCAAGGTCAAGGTCACGGTTACTAAAAATAGAAAAATGTTTTCGGACAATAACTTGAGTTAGGAATGAGATATTGTAATCAAACTTGGTGTACAGCAAGCTTATATGAAGACCTGGGTTGGTATTGTTTTTGGACCCCCTGGGGTCAAGGTCAAGGTCACCGTTACTAAAAATAGAAAAATGGTTTCGGACAATAACTAGAGTTAGGAATGAGATATTGTTATCAAACTTGGTGTATAGCAAGCTTATATGAAGACCTGGGTTGGTATTGCATTTGGACCCCCTGGGGTCAAGGTCAAGGTCACCATTCCTAAAAATAGAAAAATGGTTTCCGGACAATAACTTGAGTTAGGAATGAGATATTGTAATCAAACTTTGTGAAAAGCAAGCTTATTTGGAGACCCCAGTTGGGATTACAATTAATTGAAATATTTCTTTGTACACAGTTGATAGTTTGTGTTGAAATTTTTCTTCAGACTACTTATTTTTCAAAAAGTTGCTGGTGGGGGTATTAATCACCTTCAGTGATAGGTCTAGTTTATTTCTTTTTTTAGGTGCGCGCAGCAACAGGACAACATGAATCTCTGAAAAGATCGATTAGACGTGTAAAAAGAGGACAAGCACCAAAAGAACCAACATCAATTAACGACATTCCACATCCACTACCGAATGATTACACCACTACAAATGCAGGAAATGATGAACCATTCCTGATACACGACAATGCGTCCGACACAAGCCGCCTCCTTATATTTTCAAGTGAAACCGGATTAGAACTTTTAGGAAACGCTCATACTTGGTACATGGATGGAACTCATTCCACAGCACCACAGCAGTTTGGACAATTATTCTGTATAAGAGTTCCATTAAGTGATTCACATGTTTCGGTGGTGTACGCTCTATTACCTGGTAAACAACAGTCACACTATGAAGAATGTTTTACAGCAATTTTAGACGTGTGCTTACAGAAAGACATCCGGCCCAACCCAGCAACAATCGTCGCAGACTATGAGATCGCCATACACAACGCGGTGAGATCAGTCATTGGCTCAAGTATCCATATACAGGTATGTATGCTTACAAAACATATCAAATGCATCCCAGATAATACAAGTATGCACTATACAAAACAGCAAAAATAAATATGTCTGTATGTTTAAGTATAAACACCTTATTTCAAATAGTCACAATGCTATCACTAGTTATATAATTTATTAAATACGTAGTAACGTTTAATCTTTATTTTTGTGTTAAAAAGTGTCCGATTATTGTTAGATTTGACTAACTTCTTTATTTTATTTCAGGGTTGTTTTTATCATCTAACACAAGCTACATGGCGTCATATTCAAAGCGAAGGGTTACAGTCGTTATACAGAGAAGACAAGGATATCAGACACTTCTGTGGTCAATTAGACGGCCTTGCCTTCCTTCCAGCGAGCAAGGTGACTGAAGGAATGTCGCTTCTTCGAGATTCAGCCCCAGATGTCTTGTCAGGTTTAGTAGACTATTTCGACTCAACGTACGTTTCTGGGTCATACAGATCAGTGCTATGTAATGGACGAATTCGACTACGAAAGACATCACCAAGATTCGATCCCCAAGTATGGAATGTTCATGAAACAACACTTAATGACGGTGACCGCACCAACAACGTTTGTGAGAGTTGGAACAATGGTTTTAGACATCTTGTAGGACACAGTAATCCATCATTGTGGACAGTTATAAATTGCCTCCAGAAAGACAATTCATTAGTAGAGACAGAGGTGTATAGAGACAGTGTAGGAGAAAAATGTGACGAAACGTAGGAGAAAAGAAACAGTCTCTCATCAGAGAAAACTCAAGAAACTGTGCGAGGAAATTCAGTCAGGAACGAAATCAACCCAGAATTCCTTCATGCATAGGGAAATGTGTAAGACTTGTGAAATGAAGTAGAACTCCTACAAATGTGTTATAAAATCAAAATGATCATTGATATTTTGTGTTAGGACTTGACTTCATGTACTGATTCAAATATGGTGAATGTGATTTTCTAATCATAATGACGATGATGACAGTTCAATTTCCTATTACATGTTGCATAATATATTCTTTGCAAGAATCTATAGCTTAATCGTTTTGTTCTCATCAATTTGTTCTTTTATTGTTTTGCCCGCTGCAAAAATGTATTGACGAAATAAAATGATTATTTTAAAAATTTGCGTTTTTTTTTGTTTATATTCATGTATGAAAATTGGGGATATACCATTCGCTCGTCCGCACGAGATAAGCAAAATGTATTTAAAGCCCGATTAAAACTTGTAGGAGGGGAATTGTCCGGGTTGTTTTAAAAGAACGGGAGGGAATTGTCCGGGTTGATAAAAAAACGGGAGGGGAAATTGTCCGCCGTAAAAAAATAACGGGAGGGGAAATGTCCGGGTTGTAAAAAAACATTCAAATTTACTGGAGGGGAATCGTCCGGGAGGGGGATTGTCCGGATTCCATTTAGAACATGTTAACCCACAACTTTTGTTGTCTTATTGTGTTTTACCGAGATGTGATTTACATTATATTTCTGCAGAAGTGACCAGCAATCAGGTTCGAGTGTTCCAGCAATCTGTGTTCTAGTGATCCGAGGTACAACAATATACATTACAAAGGAAGTTGGCAAAGACTGGGCAATGAGGTCGAGCCAAGGGGAGGTATTTCTAGCAATCCAAGGACAAGCTGAACAAAGTTCAACTATAAATTATGGTAATTTTAAAGGTAATTTTGCAAAAATGTTATACTATGTTGTAAATCTTCATGATTAGTGTTTAAGTTAATAATATATTAAATTTTCAAGTAAATGGATACAGTTTTCATTTTTTTAAAAAAGATTAACGAGTTTTTCAATTACCTGAAATAAAATTTTATTCAGTATATAAAGTTGATCATTACTTAAACTAAAGTTTTTTTACAGGTTCATTTCTGTCAGGTACCTATTGCGCTATCATTTAAAAGGAACCCACTAGGTTTATAAAGCTTTAAAACATAAAATTTTATTTTTCCTTCACATAAGATTAAACATGACCCACTTAAAACAGAAATATTAATAAAATTTAAAACCAAAAATAAAACAAAAATACATTAAAAATCATGTTTGTAAATTCTCATTTTTTGGGTTTTGGGAATAAAAAGCTTTTTAATTTATTGTTTTTGGGGCCAAAAATTTCGGTAAAGGTTATTTTACATTTTCCCTTTTAAAACTAAAAAACATTTCCGGGGGCATAAATTTTAAGTTTTTTGGGCCCACAGTTTAAAATTTCATAGGAGGGTTTGGGTTCCATACGGGTAGAAGACCCTTTTGGGTTTTTGGGGCCCAAAAAAGTAAAAGGGTAAAGGGTTACAGTTCCCTTTTAAAAACTGAAAAACATTTTTCCAGAGCAAACTTAATTCCATTTGGGCCCAAAAATTTTGGGGTAATTTAAAATAGGAAGATTTTTAAATTTGAAGGGGGGGTAATACTTTATCGAATTCCAAAAATGTCTTACAAATGCTTCATGTTTATCTAAAAAAAGAAAATCACTTCCGGGCATATAATGCTCCGCCTAACGGTGACTCCTTGTTTTCTTTGTGTTTATTCTCTTTTTTTTAACAATTTATTTGTTCGCATCCATAATTAATTTCTCAATATTCTCTCACATGTTTTGTAATCCTTTTTGTTGTTTTGTTATTTTGACTCCTTTTTAAAATGTAATAATTGTGATATATTTAACTCTTACAGAGGAAAGAAATTAATGGAAAGATAGATCTAGAATGCCAAAAGCCTGGTTAAGACTTTAATCATTGGCTCTCAAAGTAAATAAACTCCAAAAAAAAAAAAAAAAAAAATACTCATTTGATATTACAATTATAAATAATACAATTTTTACAACACATTTGTATAAGTTTCAGGAAAATTCTGCCTGTGGCAAATGTGTTTAAAAGCAAAATTATTTGGCATAATATATATTTGAAATGTAATATTTCATTTTTAGCTTGTCATTAAACTTAATTTAAAGCCTTTAAAATTGGGTGCCCCCCAGGCCCCCGGCATTTTTGGGGGCAGGGCTGTAAACCATTTTTGGGTTTTAGTTTTTTATTGCATTTGGTACTAAAAACATTTAAAGGGGTTTTGTTTTTTGTAAAAAAAACCATCTTATAATTATATATATTAAAATAGAATTAAAAATTGGGAAATTTTAAAGAAACAGGTCCATTGAAAAATTTTTAGCAGTTTGTATTTTTGGGCTTTCACGGCCCTATTTTTTCCTACTTTTCCTATTTTTCCCCTTACTTTTTTTTTTGACCCCTATTTCCCCTTTTTTTTTTCTAAATAGCCCTTTTCCCCTATTTTTATTTTGAAATAAAATAAAAAAAAGAGATTTTTAAAGTGAATTTCATTGGGTTTTTTCATTCCCTTTAAATGAATTTCAGGTGTGTGTGTGTCTCTTGTGATGTCCGTCTTGAAAGACTCCTGGTCAGAGCTGCATTACTGGTACTGGTACTTCAGTATATACTGGAGCAATTTTGCAAGTACTGGTAACTGATACTGAAATTACTCTTACATAATTTTTGCTACTACTGGTACTGGTACTGCATTACTGTCTTAAAAGTGGTACTGCTACTGCATTACCCAGTACTTTTGGTTTTGATAAAAATGTCATTATTTTTACTCATAAAGTACAGCTGTAAATTCCATGTATTATTTTATTTTTGTTAAAATTAAGTTATCAAATCTATAAATAATTTGCTGCAATAATTCCTTCAAATGTTAACTTAGTATTTTTATCAACTAAAAAAGCACCAAAGACTTTAAGTAAAATTAAAATTGAGATAAACAATGTCAATAACTCTTTTTCTAATAAAATATCCTTATAGCAATCTTATTACTTTGTATTTACTAGTAAAAAAAAAGAGCAAAATAAACACTAATTAATTACTTCTATTCTAAATAATCTTATTTCAAGTGATATTGTTAGCACCATAAAAAGTTGTTATTTACTTTGGTATAAATTGAACAGAGGTGTGAAAATGTGAAAGGCAACAAAAAGACTGGTGGGTATTAAATGTAAGATTATTGCATTGCATTACAGTTGACTGGTTACTAAACAATAACATATGACATGAATATATGTTGTAATTATTGTTTGTAAAAAGTATGTTCGTTCATTTAAGTTGTAAAAATGTAATGTCAACTTTAAAGTAAATGATTTTATTTCCTTGTTGAATAATGTTTGCAATTATTTAGAATGACACTGTGTATTTATTCAAACTTTGATGAATACATAAAAGTATTACTAGTCTACTGGTACTTAATTACTTCCCCCAAAAAAGTACTGGTACTGCAGTACCAAGCTAAAATCAAGTACTGGTACTGCAAATCTTGGCAAGTACTGGTACTGGTACTTAAGTACTACACCCTTAGTACTGATGCAGCTCTGCTCATGGTGCCTTGGCAAAACATTAAGCAACATTTTGGCTATGAGTTGCTTGTCTTTCAAGCATGGACTGAACTGAAGTTAAACACAGCCTGATGTGGTCTTGGTGACGGTATGTTTTGCTAATTCTTAAATAAAACAGTAAGAAATTCCTACTTTATCCCTACTTTTTAACATCAGAAATCCCTACATTGCCCTACTTTTTGGTAAAAAAATGCCCTACTTTTTCCCTAGTTTTTTTGGTAGAGGCAGTAGAAAGCCTGTACTTTTGTAATTTTTTAGTAATATAAGTAATGTTTGTGGTATTTCAGGAAATTGAGAAAGAAATGAAAGAGTAACAACAAGCATGTGATGATATCAAGAAAGAAATTGTTCAGAGACAGCTAGAGGTTAAAACATTGAAAGAAGATTTAGATACATCTAATAGACAAGCATGGATAGTAAAGAATATGAAAAACTCACTGAAAAATAGGAAAATCTTCAGGTTAGCCTTACCATTCTTGTACAATACACTAACGGTGTAAATTGTAGATAAATATCTTTTAATCTGTAACAGAAGTATTTGATTTTCTTAAGTAAGGAGGCTTTTTTTTTTATACATACATTTCGAAGAGGAAACGATAAAGATTAGGCCAAAAGTTGGTTATAAAATTCTATGAAATTTAAAACATTTTGAAAATATTAACAAACAAGTTAAAGTTGATATTTTCAAATTTTTATTGTAAGTATTACTTTTTTGTTTAAGAAAATAAAAACAAACTTTTTTTTGGAGTTATTTTGATACTTAGTGAGTGCATTCTGTAAAAAAATTTAGATTGTCATATATTCAGTATTTTGTCAAAATTTATTTAATTCTTCAGGGGAAAAAAACCCTTGTGATTCCTGAACAGACATTTCATTTTATCTATTATTCTTTGATTAACAGACTATATAATCTTATAATTCTTATACAAAAAAAAGAGGAAAAGAAATGGCTATAATAAAATGTAATTTTTAAAATCAGATTTATATATTGACAGGGTGATTTGGTACAAAATTCTGGAAACAAAGTGATCCCTCGGAAGCATTAATAACAACAAAATAACATAAGAATTGCAGATTCAGTTTGATTGAGTCTGTACATGAGGGATTATGAATAAGTGCAACATCCCTCACGCCCCCTAGCACCGGCTTGAGCGGTACTCAATTCTCAACACTTTTATAGTGTTGGCATCAATGATCCCATAGGACCAGAAAATATAACAACACTGAAGTGTGTACAAGTTAACAACTGTTCCAAACCAGAATGCAAAAGAAGCTGATAAACTGGGAAGAAAAAAGATGTAAGAAAATCTTAAACTTTTTACACTTCTGAATAACTATGTGTACAAATTCTTCTTTCATTACACAATAAAGTAAAATTTTAGTAAGGTCTTGACTAAGGATTTTTTTGCTTAAAGAACATTGTAACTTAATTCCCAACTGTTTCAATTACCATAGGTATATTGCCTAAATGTAAGTATAAATGTTGTAACTTGCTGATCATTTGTAAATGTTAAATTTCATTAGTCAAAGAACATAATTAGCCAATTGTAACTTAAGGTGAAAAAACTAAAATCCTTCTAATAACTTATAAGTTTTAGCTGACATAATAATGTATAAAACATTTTTTTTATTTCATTTACTTTATGTGATTTTTTTAAAATAAAATATTTGTTGAAATTTTTAGATCAATATAAAATATAACTTGACTTTTTTTTAACAAATTAAAAAGAAAGATTTTTGTACAGTTACTCTTTGTTTGTTTTCAGTGAGCTTTAGAATCAGTTAGTAGTTTTAGATAAAGAATTCCAAGATTTTGTAGCTCAGAAGAAAAACATAAAATGCATGACCTGGAGGAAGAGAAATTTGACATGGACAATGATATTGAGAAACAAAAATCACATTTGAACGAGAAGGATGGAGAAATGGAAGTGCTACAAAAACATTTTAAATGTGCAAAAGATCGAGAAGCTGTGTTAATGGGGGAAAGGTATGTTAGTTTGAACAGTAAAATGCAAAAGTAGCAAAAATATGAAATGTAAATGTGTGATCAACTTAAATAGCTGCTAATAAAAATAAAATCAAGGTTACTTTAGAGACAGTTAAATAGCATAGCAACAAAATGACAAAAGCCATGATTTTTGATAGAATTTTATCACAAAATAATTAATTTAAAACAACTTTCTTAGCTAGCGTAATTTGTTGAAAATTGACTAATGGCTAAAACTGTTTGCAGGGCAACATTTGACTTGCACTTAGGCCATATTCATCTAGAAAAATGCTCATGATGTTCATTCAAGAAAGATTAGAGAAAAAGACTGTAATATTAGAAACTTGAAAAAAGCTGAACATCATTACCCAAAGACGATGGCACACTTCATAAGAAAAGAGAAGAATTACAGAATGAAATGGAACAAACAAAACAGGCTTTGGCTTAACTCAGGTATGATGAAAGATATGTTAAAAATATCTAAACTGCTTTTGAAAAGATTTCCATTTAAACAAAAAAGAGAAAAATTATTTTCAGAAGATAACTACTTTTATGAAAGTGATAATTGTTTTAACACTAATTGACATACATGTATAGAAAGTCTGGCAGTAATGTGTTTGAACATTTGTAATTAAAAAAATGAAATCATGTTAGAACTTCATGTTTAAATTGTGGATTATCAATTTTTGAACTTTGTATCATTATTTTACTCTTTGCTGATGATATGGTGTTAGTAGGACATTTTATAGAAGATTTACAATCCGGTCTAAACTTATTATATGAATATTGTACATACTGGGGTTTACAAGTTAATACTTCAAAAACAGAAGTCGTTATATTTAGAAAAAGGGGCCCCTTGAGACAGAACAAAAAACTTTTTTATAATATTGAACAATTAGACATAGTTAATGATTTCAACTACAGTCAAACGTGTATTAAGCGACCAGGCAAGGGAAACACTTAATGAAACGGTCTCTTAAGACAGTCAGCATGATATAAAAGTCAAAATTTTTAAATGACATCTTTTTTATTCGATGGGATTGTTTTTCAACTTCATTTTGATATAAATGTTGAATAATAAGTACGCTCCGATAATCTAAACGGATGCAAATGTAAAAATAACGTTCTGATATTTATTGACAAAATCAGTTTTGATCCATTACGTACATGTTTGACATTTTTTCCAAAATTTTTTAACTTCTCCGTTGTTTTTCCTTGTCTCCGACACGAAAACCCTATTAGTGAAGATGTTTTCTGTTGTGCATTTTTTCATTTGAAATAAACAAACTACATCTATTTGTTACGATTAATTTAATGGCTGATCAAGTTCAAGGTCAATTCAAT